GCTCCCAACCACAGCCTCAGGCAGCTCCTGAACCCAAAAATCGTTAGCAACTCGGAGCTGAACCGCTAATTATACATGCAAATGAACGTGCATTTTTTGAAAAACGACCGTTCGGGCAATACTTTCAATTTTTCAATGAACTGTTTGCATATTTTCAAAAATTCGTTCTCAGCTCGGACCTTAACCGCAATCGTATATGTAAATGAACACGGTTTTTTTGGAAACGACCGCTCGGATTGCATATTTTCAAAAATTCGTTCTCAGCTCGGACCTTAACCGCAATCGTATATGTAAATGAACGCAAAAATTCGTTCTCAGCTCGGACCTTAACCGCAATCGTATATGTAAATGAACGCGATTCAAAAATTCGTTCTCAGCTCGGACCTTAACCGCAATCGTATATGTAAATGAACGCAGTTTTTTTGGAAAGAATTCGTTCGCAGCTCGGACCTTAACTGCAATCGTATATGTAAATGAACGCGGTTTTTTTGGAAACATTCGTTCTCAGCTCGGACCTTAACCGCAATCGTATATGTAAATGAACGCGGTTTTTTTGGAAACGACCTGAACCGCCAATTAAACATGCAAATGAACGTGCATTTTTTGAAAAACGACCGTTCGGGCAATAATTTCAAATTTTTCAACGAACTAAAAATTTGCATATTTCAAAAATTCGTTCTCAGCTCGGACCTTAACCGCAATTTTTTTCAATGAACTAAAAATTTGCATGTTTTCAAAAATCCGTTCTCAGCTCGGACCTTAACCGCAATCGCAAATTTGCATATTTTCAAAAATTCGTCAAAAGACCGTTCGAGCAATACTTTCAATTTTTCAATGAACTAAAAATTTGCATATTTTCAAAAATTCGTTCTCGTTCGGGCAATGAACCTGAACCGCCAATTATACATGCAAATGAACGTGCATTTTTTGAAAAACGACCGTTCGGGCAATACTTTCAATTTTTCAATGAACTGTTTGCATATTTTCAAAAATTCGTTCTCAGCTCGGACCTTAACCGCAATCGTATATGTAAATGAACACGGTTTTTTTGGAAACGACCGCTCGGATTGCATATTTTCAAAAATTCGTTCTCAGCTCGGACCTTAACCGCAATCGTATATGTAAATGAACGCCGTTCTTTTGGAAACGAACGCTCGGGCAATACTTTTACTTTAGTTTTGATGCAAAAACGCATGATCGCACCGGCTCGCCTGGTGTGCTCGGACCTTAACCGCAATCGTATATGTAAATGAACGCGGTTTTTTTGGAAATGAACGCTCGGGAGTTTTACTTTAGTTTTGATGCAAAAACGCATGATCGCACCGGCTCGCCTGGTGCTTTCCAGCCTTTGCTACTTTAGTTTTGATGCAAAAACGCATGATCGCACCGGCTCGCCTGGTGCGTTCCAGCCTTTGTTATGGTTTTTTATGACTGTAATTGTACTATGCCGAGGTTGTAAATTCCTTCGCTTAACTGTTATTGAGAATTGCCGTGGGTTAATCTCCCGCCAACTACGCCATTATTTCGAGTTAGAGGTGAAGACTAAATTCTCAGCATAAAAGGCCTCGCTCCTTCTCTCCTTTTTGGGTCAGTCAGTTGTTGTGGAGTTTCGAGCTGTTTGATGGGAGTTTGTGTGGAGAAATTTGTGGTTGGAGACGCCTCGCCTCGCGGGTATAGTCTCTCGTCGTCGATTCGGAAATTTGTTGAGGTTGCACCGAAACCTCAGTTCGAGCTATTGTTGGGAGACGAATAAAGGGAGGTGAAATTTTGTTGTATTTCAATTGCTTCGATAAAGATTATTAAAAGAAAATCGGCGAGACTGAGAGGTTTAATCCTCTTGTATTTTGTGGTCTAGTTCATGTTAAAGCACCTCCTCACCCGGAAGCCGACATATCTAGAAAACAGCTGGAAAAAATTGGCATTTGGGTCCCGGGCCTTGTGGAAGCAAGCTATTCGTCAACGGATTGCATGGCGCGTGTCGATTATTTTTTACGAGCCGCATTAAATGGGGACTCTGAGGGGGATTTTTTGTGACGATTGGGTCCACGGGTGCCGAAGTGGCGGATTGAGTGCGCGGGCGGTGGTGTGAACGGTGTGGCCCAGGGCAATCTGTGTTGTCATTTAGGGCTGGGGTTAGCAGTTGTTCTTCGTGGGTGAGATTGCTTTTCATCCGTACCGTTACTCAGAAGTTGAGTATCATTCTCGCTGAGGGTGCACCCCGCCGGAGAAGTTTGGAGGCCCACTGGCTAGTAACTTTCCGTTGGGTACTGTTTGCAGTAGTTCCGGGTTTAAATGGCAGCAACCTG